ACCTGAGTGGCTCGATCAAGAGCTCCAGCCAGTGCAGATCCCCTGGCCGCCTCCAATTCCGACTGCATGTGCTTGACACGTATGGTCCACTGCGTTGCACCCCTGGCGCTGCCCTGGCGTCGAGGGGGTGGTGCAGTGAGCTGCGGACGCTACGAGAGAGGAAACGTTTGGAGGTGGGCAGTGCAGCAGATGGTGATGGGCTCAATGCTTGGACAAGAGCAGAGATCGGAGCTCTGGGAGAGAGTCTTGGAGTGCGCAGGCAGGGCGGGACAGGCATCTAAACGACAACATCGCGGTACAAACGTGCAGCAACGATTGACAGGTGTACACGTTCCAGGTACAGTCTCTTTCACACAGCCTTCGAGATCTTGGATTCCCCATGTCGGATGTTCCAGTGATCGGTCATTGAAACCTCTTGAGTTCTGTGAACAATTGTAAGCGGACACATCTCGGGACGTCTTCTCGCATTGGTCTTGAATGCACGCATCAGTCGAAGTGGCCAGGAGTATTTTCTGATTGGTGCAGCAGTTGGGCTCCTCTTATTGATACGACTAGCTTTGCTACTTCCGCCAGACCTGACAGTAGACTTTTGACATGCAAGTTCCAACCTCAGTACGCGGTGTCAGTGGGATGTTGACGGCCGTCATTCACATGACGAGTTCCAGCGTACGCCGCGTAACATGTTTGCTCGAGCCACATCGGATGGGAGTGATGTTCCTTCTTTCGTTACGCAGTGGCGCAGCAATTCCTCACAAGGGGTGCCAGTCTGTACTGTTGTCGTTGCCGTGTTTGAATATTTCTGGCGGAGGGTTGACGTTCTTAGGCGCACTTTTACGAGAAAACCAAATAATTCGCGTATATCTTTCCAGTGTAAAGTATTTTGCTTGTCTTGAGCTCGCGCTCTGCCTAAGTTGGCCGGTCGGTTTGACACGTACGTGATGGCCTGCATTTGGAGGCGTATCCGGGTGACATTAAAACAGTCAGTATCCATGAATGCGTTGCCGCGGTGTGTTGGCATGACCGCGACAGCACAATCAAACGTTATTGTTGTCATGGAAGACGGCAGGCAAAGCTAGGGACAGGCAACCACTTTGTGAGTCTACCGAGTGCGGTATCAGGGAGCCAGCGGGGTCCCCTCGGGCCGCCGAGAGGCCTCTGCTGGCCCTGACCAGAAGCGCTAAGAGACCAGAGCACGTGAAGCCGAGAGGCAGTCTGAGATGCAGCTGATAAGCAATACAGAAGTCTGTCGGACGAGCAATGATGACCAGCTTGCTGCTCTCAGCGTACCAACTGTTGGCGAAGAACATATGAGTATCCGCGGCCTCGCGGGCGAGGCCCCTAGGTCGCGACCCCGCGGATACGGGGCGTCTTGTCGCTGATGCCACGCGCGGGACGTATTCGTGCGACCACGTATCCGCGGGATCGCGCCCCGGAATACATACCGCGAGGGCGCGGGTACGGATATGTTCTCCGCTCGTGACCAGCATCAAAGCATGACATCGCTCCGAACCCAAGCCCGCCGACAGATTTTTTGCGTGCGGCATCGTCGTGCCCAGTTGGGGGCCCAGTCAGCCATGCACAGAGAGGGAGAAGGGGAGGAAGGATGGGGAGGTTTGGTAGCAAATCGTCGGAGTTTTGTTTGTCCTAACGACTCCGCCTTCAGAATGCATCAGCGTTCGCTAGCGTCTGGTCATCGATGAGGAAGCGCCGACTCAGCGTCGGTCAGTGTCGATTAGGCGTCGATTGGCGTCGGCCGGCGTCGATTCGCAAGGGCGAGCAAGAGGGCATGGGAGGACCCCGTGCGTTGCCAGCGAAGGGAGGAGGAGGAGGAGGAGGAGGAGGAGGAGGACCCCTCCTGCTGCCTCGAAAGGAGGAGGAGGAGGAGGAGGAGGAGGAGGAGGAGGAGGAGGTGGAAGAGCCAGTGGAAGAGCCAGAGGTGGAGGAGGCGCCACGGCGGCCTGCCGCCCGCGGACGCCCAGAGACCTGCAGGGCCCCAGCGCGGGGCCGGGGGGATCTGGATCCTGATGTCGGAGTTTGTGCTCCTGAGCCTCGCAGGCGGGGAGGAGGAGGAGGAGGAGGAGGAGGAGGAGGAGGAGGAGGAGGAGGGCAGCGGCCGGGGGCCACGGGTCACGAGGAGGAGAGGGCAGCGATGCCGTCGGCCCGATGCGGTGCGGTTCCGGTGGTCCGCTTGGCATCGCTCGGACGTGTGCCTTTTTTTTTTCCGGCGAGGGCAATCGAGGAGCATCCTTGATCGTTTGGCGAAAAAACCAAACAGGAAACCGAAAAAACCAATGGGAATGGACGTCCGAGCGATGGCGAGTCCAGGGGCGGAGGAGGCAGTTTCACATGCCGCCACCCTGTCCTCGTTATCCCTTTTGCTGAGCCTCCCGGGAGGCCCTCGTCGCCACCGCTGCATTCGCCCCGGAGTCCTGGTCAGAACGCACCCCAGGGAAGGTCTGGGGAGTAGCGGTGTTGGTGCCTCTTGGATTCACCAGAGAGGGGCGCGAGCGGGCATGAACAGGCATTTGCCGGGAGGTCCGCACGGATTTCCGGGATCGGCGCCGGCACCCCTGGCGGCGCCTCCGTCGCCGCCTCTGGTGAGCCCCTCGCGCCAGGGAGAGCGGGGGGGGCGCAGCACCGACCCAGAAGATCCGCGCTGCTTCCGAAGGGTTGATGCTTGTGCATGTGCTCCCTTCTCTTGCTCGGCTGCCAGCAGTCGCTGTGGCACCAGAGGTCGAATCGATGAGGACAACGATGACCATGACGATGAGATGAAGAAGAGAAGAAGGAGAGACTGAGACGGATTGTGGCGGACGATCGGGATCAACCACATGATGATGATGACGATGATGATGATGATGATGATGATGATGGTGACGAGGATGACGATGTTGATGATGATGATGATGATGATGATGATGGTGATGATGATGATGATGATGATGATGATGATGATGATGATGATGATGGTGTGGATGTTGATCATGATGATGACGACGAGGAGGTTGACGATGGCGCGGACCAGGATGGTGCTGATGAGGATGATGAGGATGATGATGAGGTTGGTGTTGATGACTAGGAAAGTGATGATTATGATCATGATGATGAGTATCATGATAATGTTGATGATGATGCTGATGGTGAGAACGAGGATGAGGAGGATGGTTGTGGTGGTGATGCCGACGACCGTGACGATACGTGAGCGATGACGATGCTGATGATGGTGAAGGTGATGATGGTGACGACGATGATGATGGTGACGACGGCGGCGATGATTATGGTGATGATGATGGTGTGTGTTTGATGATGATGACGACGATGCTGATGATGATGTGGATGATGATTATGATGATTTTTGTGGTGATTCGGATGATGCTTGTGCTGCTGAGGCTGATCATGCTGGCGGTGAGGCGTCATCACGATGATACCTACGCTGATGATGAGGATGATGCTGATGTGGCTATTGTTTCTGCCGTTGCTGATGATGATGATGATGATGATGATGATGACGATACTGATGCTGATGATGATGCTGATGATGATGCTGTTGCTCATAATGATGCTGATGATGATAACATCTGATGACGGTGATGATGGTGATGGTGATGTTGGTGCAGGTGGTGATCCTGATAATGATGTTGATGCCTATGATGGTGATGGTGGTGGTGATGATGATTATGCTGACGATGCTGATGTTGACGATGATGATGCTGATGATGATGATGATGATGATGCCGATGCCGATGATGATGTTTGCGATGATGATGCTGGTGGTACTGATGTTAATGCTGATGGTGGCGATGCTGATGCTACTGGTGATGATGATGATGATGATGATGAGTACGATGATGAAGAAGATGATGATGCTGATGATGGCCATGATGATGGTCATGTTGATGGTGATGATGCTGCTGATGATGATGACGATGCCGATGATGGCGATGATGAAGATGATGATGATGATGATGCTGATCATGTTGATGATGGTGACGACGACGATGATTATGATAATGATGACCATGATGATCATGATGATCATGATGTTCAGGATGATGTCGATTATGATTCTGATGCTGCTGCTGATGATGATGATGATGATGACGGTGGTGGTGAGGATGATGATGATGATGATGATGATGCATCATAATGATGCTGCTGAGGATGACGATGGCAAAGCTGACGACGAGCAGCAGCAGGAGGAGGGGGAGGAATAAGATAAAAAGAGAGCTGTCCATCACTTTTTATATCTCTCGTCGTCACTTCTCGAAGGGCTCTCATGGACCTCATCTGGGCCGTCTTGACTTGAGGCTTGCCTGGGCTCCTGCGCTGTAATTAGGACGGCCCCTTGGGGCCGTCCTGCGGTCCTCTTGTGCCGTCTTGGGGCCTTCCTAGGCCGTCTGTGGGCTCTCTTGAGCCGCCTGGACCTCTCTTCTCCGTGTGGGGGTTGTTCTCTTTTGGGGCTGTCAGGGGGGGCCATCTTGGGCCGTCGATGGGGCCCTCTGAGGCCTTATGGGTTCCGTCCGGAGGCCCTTTACAGCCAGCTTCGGGCCGTCCTGGGGTCTCCTTGGGCCATCTTGCGACTCTCATGGGGGCCTGTTGAGGCCATCTTGGAGGATTCTTGGGCCATCTTGAGCTTACGGACACCCAAGATGGCGAGAGTGCGAACATCCTCAAGACCAGCAGTGGCAAATCAATGATATTGGCCGCTTCGGGCCAAGTCGGGGGTCCTCTTGTGGCCCTCTTGGAGGCATCCTGGGCCGCCGTGAGGCCGTCTTGGGCCGCCTTGGGGCCATCTTAGGCCGCCGTCGAGGCATCTTGGGCCATCTTGGCGGCCTTGGTTGCCTGTCTGGGCTGTCTCAGAAGATGCGGACGCGGATCAGTCGTTTCGAACGAGGGGTCGTGGCCCAGGGACCCCTGGGAGAGGTTGGCGAGGCATGGAATTAGACGATAGGAGCGGGGAGGTCCTATATCAGAATACGAAGAAACCATCAAGGCAGCCCTTTGCTTTCTTCCGTGCCTCGAAGTGCACAAGGCACGGCAGCGGGCTGAAGCTGTGGCAGCGCGAGCGTGGGCGAGAGCGGGAGGAGGAGCGGCAGCGGAGGCGGCGGCAGAAGGGAGTCAGGAGCCCACAGAGTGGCGGCAGGAGCAGCAGCAGCAGCAGCAGCAGCGGCACGAGCGAAAAAAGGGAGGAGGTCTGTGAGGCTTGCGCAGTCGGCCCGGATTAGTAGGTCGACCTTGCCAGCTCAAGGGTACCCTTGTGTCCTGTGCCTCGCGACACGTGCCTTCTTACACTCCTATGGCGATGTGGCCCTCGGAAGGGTCTTGTGTCCTCTCGCGTGTTCTGTCCAATCAAGGCCGACTGTGAGGTGAATCTGTGCGGCGCTAAGGTGTGAGCCACATCTTGAGAAGGGCCCTCCCCACGTGCGCGACACTGCTGCAACTGTTCGAGTCGAATGTGCGCGGCGCTGAGGCGAAAGAAACATTTTGAAAACGACCCGCCATTCCATCCGCGAAGCTGGAGTAGTTTGCAAGCTTCAGGATCACAGATGGTGATGAGGTCTCAGTCGAAGCGCCACGCCCGCATTGCCGTGAAGTCTGGGGGCGCGACAGGGAGGAGTCATCGATATGGAAAATGGATGCGGAGGAGGAAGAAACGGAGGACCAGGTGGACCATGAGCAGGCACAGGCGCCGGAGCAGGAAGAGGAGGAGAACAGGGAAAAGGAGACATAACAGATGTAGAAAGCAGGACCGAGCATGAAAAGGCGGAGGAGGGGCAAGACGAGGGGGGGGGAGGGGGGAGGGGGAGGCGGGGATGAGATGGAGCCATCGCTATGTGAGTCGGGATGGGGGGGGAAGCAGGAGGTGATGGGGAATGGGGGGAGGAGGGGCACGGGGGGAAGAGACAGGGGAGGAGCAGGAGGGGGGGAGGAGGGTGGTGAGATGAACACGAGGAGGAGGAGCAGGAGGGAGGGAGGGAGGAGGGAGGGAGGAGGGAGGGAGGAGGGAGGGAGGAGGGAGGAGGAGGGGAAGAGAGAGGGGAGGAGCAGGAGGGAGGGAGGAGCCGAGGAGCTGGTGGAGGAGCAGGGCGGATGGTGGAGGAGCAGAGGCGGATGGAGCGGGAGCGGCCGGAGGAGACGGAGGGCCCGGGCAGTCGGACCCGGCGGAGCGGGGCCCAGGCACCTGCTACCCGCTGTACGCTTCCCTCCGGGTGCTGGCCACAGGAGCTGCCAGCCCGGCCGGCGGTCGGGGTGCTCACCGTGGCGGCGGCTCCAGGCTCCTTCGTCGGCGCGGGAGGAGCTGAGGGGGAGGAGGAGGAGGAGAAGGAGGAGCAGGAGGGGTAGGAGGAGTAGGAGGAGTAGGAGGAGGAGGAGGAGGAGGAGGACCGGGTATCCGAGCTCAGTGGTTTGGGGATCCGAGCCAGTCCAGCATCAGGCGTAGAGCCTCGTCGAAGAACGCCATGAGTGGCCGAGGCAGCTGCAGACAACCCACCCACCGCCCTTAGACTGGACTCGCTTTGACGTCGCTACCTCCTTACGAGCACTTTGCAGTGACTCGTGGGAAGCACGGGAGCTGCGTGAGCAACGCCCCCGGTGGTGGCATGCCACGGAAGAGGAGATGACGCGAGCACCACGAGCAGCCAACATACCACATGACATCTCCATTTTCAGCCCCGCATGGGTCAACCACTGTAGGGAGCTTCGCGTATCGCTACCGCCAGCACGCCAGACCATCACTACACTCCGCCTGTCGACACGATTCAATCGGCACGTCGAGTGCGACATCCTGTTGTGCAAAGGTCGCATGATTCTGCACCTGATATGTTGCAACCCGTGGTGACGCAATGGTCAGACGGCTTCGTCCAAACACGACTCGGCGCTGCTCGCCGCCATCGGCCGTGAATGGATCCAGTAGCTCGGTTCGATGGAGACTTTGATCATGAACGGCGACGACGGGGTGACCGCAACGTACTTCGTGGAGGAGATGAACAGGATAGGAGTACATCTTGACATGCGTGCTCCGCGCCCGCGCGATCATTTCGTCGAGCCGCGTGGAGCCATTCTACGTCAAACACTTCACGCCACGGAGGAGCAGCTGGAGCGCGAAGGCATCGCGGCAACACGTCGACTCCATGCTAGCACATGCCGTTCTTAATGGCAGCAGCCTCAGCCACGTGGGCGGCGTTACGCCATGCAACGTCGTCTTTGGACGGCAGCTGCCCATGCGGGCACCCCTCGAAGCTGACGAACAGGGTGAGGCATCCGGCGACCGCGTCGCTGGTGCCGAGCCTTCTGCTGGCAGGGGAGTGCAGCCCAGCCGATTGCAGAGGCGCATCCGAGGTATAGCCCTGCAGCGCATGATCGAAGCCACATTCATCGCACGAGTCAACCGTGCCTGCAGGACCCGCACCACCGAGGCCTGGGAGGGCCGCTTCAACGTGGGTGGCCAGGCGGAGATCCACAGGCACTCCACGACGGGACGTGTCGCACTCGGGGGAACTGTCCCCTTGCAGCCAGGCAACGTTTTATGAAGGGGTGGTTCGTAGAGCCTTCCAGTTGTACTGCTCTTTTTGGAAGGCACGACGGACTTGTTTGAGCACCGTGCTCGAACGGTAGGTCCTTGTGCAGTGACCTGTCTCTCACCTTTGCTGGCCCGCTGCGCTGTCTTGGCTCAAGACCTGATCCGTGCACTGCGCCTCTCTTAGACTCGTCTTAGACATCCCGCCTTCGACCAGCATGCTCTGTACTTCCTTTACGGACAACATCGCAATACTCATTTCTAGTCTCTTCCTCCTCCCACCTCCCCTCGCGTTTTTCACCCTTTTTCCCCGCGCTCGCAATCGTCGTCCCCCTCCGTTCCCATCTCCCTCCCAGGAGCGGATGGCAGTTCCCACCCACCCCCCAGACACCCCCGCCTTGACCCCCCTTGAGTGGGGTAAGATTCGATCTCACCGAACAACGCCCCTCTGCGCCTCCCTCGGAGTTTTCTGGTGCTCGCGAGGCACGCGCGAGTCAAACGGGCGCCCCAGGGGTTGGGGGGGCCGAGGGGATCGGCCCCGCCTTCGACAGAAATGCCCCAAGTGGGGGGAGCAGGATCTCGAGATGAGAAAGGGGGGGGGGGGGCACACGGGCGTCCAGCCCTGGCGTGGGGGTGACAAAGGGGGGGGGGGCCTTCTCTGAAGGTTCGGAGGTCCTCCGGCCTTCCGCCGAGTTTTTGCCCTCTCCCGAGGACGCAGGACATTTCCCAGAAGGCTGGACGGATTCTGAACCCGCCGTCTTCTGAGCGGGCCTCCCTTCGCTCGCCGCCGAGTGTGGGTGAGGGGGGATACGGGATGGGGGAGGACACAAACCAGGCGCGTTCGTCGACAGTTCTGACATCCGGTCTCGCTGTTATCCTCCCTTTTGCGATGAAATCGCTTCTGCCCGCCAGCTGGGGTGTCCCAGATGATCTTGTTCCCCCAAGAGGGACCTCATCGTGTGGTGCGTACTCATATATGTTTTGTTGCACAGGGCGAAGAGGAAAAGGTTTGCATTGCAATGCTGATTCCTTTCAGGGTAGGCAAAACAGTGTATAACCTCAAATCGGTTTTCTCGCATCCTTGATCGCCAGTGCTGGTGAAAGTGGAGAAGATGCACCTTCCCGTGCAATAATGCTGGTTCCCGTATTGTACACATTTGGGGCCTGATTCTGGTGGTAGTCAGAAGTACATCCCTGTTTCGAAATCGGATCAACAAGTGACTCCTCGAGGCCAGGGGATTGTGGAGTATGCGGTTTGCCATGCCACTTCTTTCAATGTTGCACTCTCGCTTTGGCGCCGCGTACGTTTTTTCAAAAGCGTCATTCTCGCCTCGGCGCCGCGCACATTCTTGTTTGTTAATTGTGTGAGTGGGGAAGATGCGGGCTCGTGCCTCGCGCGCTGCACGAGACACTCGGGCGCGTCCAGCTTTCGGCCTCATTCTCATCATCTCCTTCCTCTAGCTCCTCGTTACTATTCCCTTTGGGGTGCCAGAGGGTGGTGGCGGTAATCGTGGTGGTGGACAAGGGGTGGCGGCGGTGCTCGGTGAGAACCAGGAGTGTGTGAAGTATGCGGTATGTTGTGCCCTTTCTTCGCTCTTTTTTGCTTTCTTCTTCTCTCTAGTTTCCGTTCGTGTGTGTGTGTGTGGAGTCGTGTGCGTGCGTGTGTGTCTGTGTGTAGGAGGAAGACGAGGCGGGTAGGAAGGCCGTTTTTTTCGTAACGTGACCGCTGCCGCGGCGGCGCCGCATATCGGACTAGTCAGCAACCCTACTCCCCGCCGCCCAGCTGTCTAGTCGGAAAAGTTCTCATTCATACAGATTTTCGCAATGGCGTACATGCTCGCTGTCACTGAAATCTCTAACGCCGAATGATGCTGGGCACGACTAGCACCCGTAGTGGCCGACCCTCATGCCGCTGGACACGACGGCCGCCATCGGTGGAAGGTAGTCCGCTCGGCGCTCGGCAATGTACTGGTTGAGGAGCTTGCAGAAGTACAAAACCATGAATTGATGCCGCAGAGGCGACATCTCGTTCAGGATGCGCGAGTACCCCTTGAACCAGCTGAAGGTCTGCTCTGCCGCCTGCGTGTTCACGCCCTTCAGCCTGAGCTTCAGCCTGAGGATGTGGTACGGATTGCACGGGCAAGTGTCCGAGTGCCGCTTGGCGTGCATCCAGTCCACGGTCCAATATTTGATTGGCTTGAGCGCGACGATCTTCATGGCAGACATAGTAGAACGAGCAGCATCGGTCATATGCAAAGGTGTCGACCTTTGGGTGGTTGACAATGGCCCTCCCGAGCGCCGCGGCAGCGACGCCGTTGCCCTCGGGCGCCGCCTGCTCGATGGCGGTGACGACCCGCCCCTGCGGCGTGACGACCATGTACCACCCGTAGTTGCGATGCTGGCCGCGGGGGGGCTTGCGCTTGTATCCCAACGTCGTGGTAGCATTGCCTCTCTGAGTCGCCGCGCTCTTCTTCTTGAGGGCAGGTTTTTTCAGATAGAATTTCCGCACATTCTCCATCGTCGCTTTCATGGCGGGCGGCTTCTTGTCCACGCTCCTCTTCATCGAGCGTCTCTTCATGGCGGCGGGCCTCTTCGTGACGGCGGATGACCTCCCTGCAACGGGCTCGGGGCACTTCATGGCAACCTTCTCGTGCCCGTCCTCAATGAGCAGGGACACCTTGTTGGGCCTGGGATCTGGGAAGACGCAGTCGTGCAGGTACGCGTCAAACTTCTTGAGCGCGGCGGCGCTAATTTCCTCGCCGAGCACGATGTTCAAATGCTTCCCGACCGGTTCCATCTCTGGCACTGCGAGCAGATATAAGATGCCCTCCAAGTGCAGCTTCCTGTAGTCGTGCAAGAACTCCCCGCCGTAGGCGCGCTGGGACTTGTCGGCGAGCGTCTCCTTCATCACCCAGTCGGTGCCCGTTGCCGAGGTGCACATCCTGAACATGGCCTTCTCGTGGTACCTCAGGTACCGAAGAGTGAAGGCTCGCATGGTGCTTACAAACACGACGCCGATCTTCTCGTAATCGTTCAGCGAAGCGGTGTTGACCTTCTGGCCGTCGATCCACGCGAATTTTGGGCCGTAGGTGAGCATGCAGTTCCTGCCCTGGCACCTCCACTGTCGGACGGAGATCTCCTTCGCGCCGTGCAAGTCGTGGAGGACGCAAGTCGCGCCTGGGCGCGAGGCCATGCCCGTGCGTGCGACGAGCTTGCAATTGCAGTGCGCGCAGTTCCACAAGTGGGTTTCAAAAGGGCCATCTAGGTCGATGTCTTGTTGAAGGCCAGGCCCTGGCTTGAAGAGGCGGTCTGCGCTGGCCATGCCGCTAGGGGCGCGCCGCCTGCGCAGGGCGTCGGCGGCGATGGGCCGCGAGAGGCGATCGAGCCCAGGCGGCTACCGCATAAGAAGTGCTGACGCGTGGGCGCATATGCGACGAGTGACGAAGTGAATGTGCCATGGGCGCGCAAGATCTCACAGCGGAGCTCCCCGTCCGCGCCCCCGGAACAATATAGGCGACGCCTGGGCCAAGTCGATCTCACCGAACGTGCACGCTCAGAAATCGCTTCGAACAACTACCGCCACACCGAAGCGCGCCCCGCGCGGGGCATCTCCCACCCGTTTTTCGGAAACGAAAAATTACATTTCGGGTGGAGTAAGATTTTCGGAGAAGTTGCTAGCTCGACGGAGGGGGCGTTACTGGGGGGCAAGATACCACGGTGATTGACTTCGCAGAGGCGCAATGTGCGCCCGCTTTTCGGAAATGATAAACTTATATATGCAAGTGCAACAAGCTTGAGGAAAGTGGTTCCGCGCGCCGCCCATGCGGCGCTGGGCTAGCTCCCCCGCGCGCAAGCGCCTGGGCGCGCCTCTCGCGGGCGCAGTCCGAAGGTCGGCCCGACGCGCTGGCGGTTGGTCGGCTGGTTCTGGCCCACCTTAACTTCAACGACACGCCCAGATGTCGATCCGACCCGATCGACCCGACCCAGTCCGAGCTGATCGGTTCGAGCCGATCGATCTGGCCGCGCGAACAGCAGCGGGCAAGGTGCCCGCCTGGAAGATCACGCACCGATGCGGCGGCACGGAGAGCACCGTCTGCACGATCCTCTCCATGCCCTTCCAGGTCGTGTCCCAGCCAACCGTGTCGATCCAGGGCGCGCCGTGCTCGGGGGTGAAGACCAGCGTGCAGACGCGAGCCTCAGCGCCCCGCGCAACCGTTGACGATGGCGGACATCGGCAGTAATACCGACAGCGCATCGTTCGCAATATCGCAATCGACGTCGGTCGCTGCAGTAATCGAGATCGATCGACATGAGACAGATCGATCGACCGACCGACGCGCGCTGAGCACGTCACTCCGCGGTCGTACCCGACGCAGTGCACGGCCACCCTGATGCGCGCGCACGGGCGAATGACCAGCGGCAGCAGCGTGTGATCCGTTGGCAACCATACAGGCCCAACGAAGCCAGGCGCCGCGAAGAAGAGCATGGTCTTGTTGTAGTGCTTCATGCGGGGCCAGCCGTGGACGCTGATGCACAGACGACCCTGGGGCGAGGATCCAAGCGTCCAAACGGGGCACTGGCCCGATGCTGAAAACCCAAAAACTATGATCTGGAAGGGGGCGAAGTGAAGCACTAGCCCCCGAGCCCCGCACGCCCCCGCGCCGTCCATCCCAGCGGGGCACCCCGCTGCTGAAGGCCTCAAGACTCGCCCCCCCCCCCCCCGCCTCGAAAGGGCAAACGGAGCTGTTCGATCGACCCCGCCCCATCCGTCGGTCCTGGCCAGCCTGCAAACGAATTGACTGAAAAGAGCTCAACTCCCTCCACAACAGATCTTGAGGCAAAGGGGCGCCCGGACGCACGTCGCGCAGGAAGGCGAACTCGAACGCCATTGCGAACGGCAGGGGCACAGGGACCGAGGGGGCGCTTGCCTGCTGGCAATGCGGCAACGGCAGCGGGGCTCGGGCCTCAATGCTCCCAGCGGGGCCCCCCATGGACCCGTTATGTAACGCGTCCGAAACAATTCAGAGAGATGACGCATCTGGCGGGGGGGCAGCCGCGCCGCGCGCCCTCCCCGCGCCGTAATCCTCGATGCGGGCGCTAATGCATCATGCAAGTTATAACGCGAGGGCCCCGCCCGACCTTCGCCCCGCCAATCTCCCCCCTCAGGGCGCCGCCGCGGTCACGGCGAGTCGTCATCTAAGCTGAGCACGGCCATCATGCTCGTGATGGCCTCCAGCTCGGGGCCTGGAGAATCGCTCTCGACCTGTCGTGGGAGAGCGGGGAGCTGCCATTCAGCATTCTCGCCGATCCAAATCGGGCCGGGCCCATGCCCTGGATCGGCGCACGCGGCCTCCCTGGCCATGAAGGGGGGGGGACATGCGCCGATCCTGGGCACACCATTGGCCTGACCTAAATCGGCGAAGCGGTGAATGTGCGCCCCCCCCCGCCCATCTCTCTCCGGCCGTCGCCAGGCCCTGCGCCCACAGCCGCGCCACGCTTCTCCACGCGAGCACGTTCTTCCCCGCGGCCTCCCTGCTGGCGGCCCCTCGGCCCTGTGGCGCCCGCTTGCCGCTCTCCCAGCAGGTGCGCGCCCACGTCGGGCGGCAGCCTGCCGAGGTCGTTGGCCAGCTGCTCGGGGGTCAGCAAGCCCATGGCCCGCCTAGCAGCTCCCAGGCTCTGGGCCCTGAGAGACCGGAGGACGGCGGCATTCTGACAGAGCGAGCAGTGGGCGGACCGGCTGGAAGCCTCGATGGGCTCGCCCCCTTGCCCGAAAGCGCGGGGGCAGCGCTCCTGACTGTCGCAGAGAACTGGCATTGAGCCCAAAACTTATGGCGGAGTAGGAAGGAGTGGAGCAGGAGTGAGGCAGGTGGCGAAGAGCAATGCTAAGGGAAGCGTCGTTCCTCTTCCTCCTATTCCTCATCATCCTTCTTCTGACTTCCGACCTATTAGTGTCTACAGCCCATCCCTTCATTCAACCTCCGTCCATTCCTCTCACCCCCGCCCCTTCCTGTCCAACATCTCTCTCTCCAGCCTCCCTCCATCCTTCCAGCCTCTCTCCATCGATTCTCCTTCAAGCCACCCTCCTGCCTACCTCCGGCCTCCCTCCTTGCCTCCAGGCTTCCACCCAGCAGCCTGTCGCCAGCCACCCTCCATTGAATCTTCCTCCATCCCTCCATTCATTCCGCCTCCATCCAGCTATCCTCAGGTCTCCGAGCCTTCTCCCTCCGTCCACTCTCCTCCAAGCCTCCCTCCTGCCTACCTCCGGCCCCCCTCCTTGCCTCCAGGCTCCCACAAACGGAAACGAAGTGTAAACCCGCCTCAATAGAGAATGCTTGGAGGATTTGAGTTTTTCCAGTGGTTCAATTTTTGGTGGTTTTCCCAGCTCTCAATAGAATTCCTTTTTGTGGCGCACCAACAAAAGGAATTCAATTGTAGACCGAATAAAAATTAAAGAACACAGCCGCCACAAAAGGAATCTAAGTGTAAATCCGTCTCAAAAGAAATCCTAGTGTAAACTCAAAACAAAAGGAATTTAAGTGTAAACCCTCCACACTAGAAAACTCATTGTAAACCTGCCACACAAGGAATTAAAGTGTAAATTCCCTCACAAAGGGAATCCTTTTGTAAACCCGCCACAAAAAAGGATTTGATTGTAATGTACATCCAAAATAAATTATTGGAGGGTTTCAGTTTTTTTCAGTTTGTTTTTCAGTTTTTTTCAGTTTTAACTTTTTTTCAGTTTTTCCAGTTTTTCCAGTTTTTCAGTTTTTTTTCAGTTTTATCAGTTTTTCCCAGCTCTCCATAGAATTCCTTTTGTGGCGCACCAATAAAAGGATTTTAATTGTAAACCGACATCAAAAGGATTTCAATTGTAAATCCGCCACACAAGGAATGTAATTGTAAATGTGCAAAGAAAGGAATTTCATTGTAAATCAAACACAACAGGAATTTAATTGTAAACCCGCCGCAAAAGGAATTTCATTGCAAACCCGCCACAAAAGGAAATTCATTGCGAATCGCCTCACAGAGGGAATCCTTTTGTAAACACGCCACACAGAGAATTTAATTGTAATTCGCGTGCAAATAGAACCTATTTGAAACCAATCAAAAAACTGAAAAAAAACAAAAAAAACAAAAAATGAAAAAAACTGAACTTTCCAGAACTCTTACAAGGGGAATTCTAATTGTAATCGCCAGGAAAGGAATTCAATTGTAAACTCCCCACAAAGGGAATCCTTTTGTAAACCCGCCACAAAAGGAGTTTAATTTATAATCATCGCACAAAGGGAATTCCTTTTGCAACCCCCCACAAAAGGAATTTAATTGTAAATCGCCACGCAAAAGGAATCCTTCTGTAAACTCGCCACAAAGGGAATTTAATTGTAATACACGTACAAATATAATCTATTTGAAAACAATCAAAAAACTGAACAAAACTGAAAAACAACTACCAAAAAATTGTAATCTCCAGAACCCCCACAAGGAGAATTCTAATTGTAATCGCCACAAAAGGAATTCAATTGCAAACCTGCCACAAAAGGAGTTGTTGTCGCTTCGCGAATCCCCACCAGCCCATCCAGAAACGATGCCCAGAGGAATTGCCTCGATCAGAGAAGTGGGCAGCACACAGAGGAAGCCATTATGAGACATCTTGGGATATCTTGAGCCATCTTGGAGGTCATTTTGGGCTCTCCCAGACGCTCTTGGAGTCATCTTAATCCGTGCCCCCCCCCAAGAGGCCTCCATGTGGCTAAAACCTGTGTAGAATCAATGATTAGGCATTCTCGCCGAGGCCTCTTGGAGCATCTTGGGTGCATCTGGGGGGGCTCTTGGGGCCTCTTGGGGGTCTCTTGGGGGCCTCCGGGGGGCCTCTTGGGGGCCTCTTGGGGCCATTTTGGGGCCATCTTGGGACCTCTTGGGGCTTCCTGGGCGCTTCTTGGGGCCATCTTGGAAGAGATCGATCAAACAAGAGGGGGGGTTCAATTAGCGCCCCCCCTCGGAAGCCCCGAAGAGGCCAAAATCGTCCCAAAACCTAAGGAAAATCAATGATTTTTGCTTTCTCGCCTTTTCGCTTCCGGACGCTCTAACTACCCGCGGCCCCCCCCGTCCAGGTCCAGGGGAGGGGGTAGGGGGAGGGGTAAACCCCTCCCCAAGGGGGAAGAGGGAGGGGTGGAAGAGGATCTGTTCTAGACCACCTACGCCCAGAGGGCTGGTGGGATTTAATTGTAAATCGCCTCATAAAAAGGAATCAAAGTGCAAACGTCATCCATCATACAGAGATCAGTCCTCTTCTCCCTCCTCCTCCTCCTTCCTCCCTCACGTTTCGGTTGGCAGACCGCATACTCCACAATCCCCTCTCCTCGACAAATAACCCCTCGGTCTTGAGAATAATTCCCGGTGGAAGATAAAGTTTGGCGTTTCGGGGGGTAATGCACGATTTGTCCTAGCAAATCGCACGACGGTGTATGACGAGGTAAGAGGAGGTCGCCGTCGTCGTCGTCGTCGTCGTCGCGCGAAGGCGGCGACGACGTCAACGACGACGAATACGACGACGACGAGCATGTTTCCCGCAGTTTTTGTCAGTGCAGCGCTTCGTGGCCTCATAGGGAGCCCCACCGAAGGTCCCAGTGCTGCCGTCCGCACGCGTCCTCCCCACCCAGTATAGCGCTTCGTGGCCCCATACGGAGCCCCACCGAAGGCCCCGGTGCTACCGTCCGCATTCGCCCCGCACACGCCCAGTACAGCGCTTCGTGGCCCCACAGGGAGCACCTCCGATGGCCCCAGTGGGACCGTCCGCGTGCGTCCCGAAAGCCCAATTTGGCATGCCCACCCACCCGGTGCAGAGCTTCGTGGCCCCATCAGGAGCTGCCGAAGGTGTCCGCAGGCGTCCCGAAAGCCAACTTCTGGCATTTTCACGCACCCAGTACAGCGCTTCGTGGGCCCCATAGGGAGCTCTGCCGAAAGCCCCAGTACCACCGTCCGCATGCGTCCCACGCACCTAATTTGGCATTTTCGCCCACCTAGTAAACCGATTCGTGGCCCCATAGAGAGAGAGCTCCACCGAAGCCCCCAGTGGGACCGTCCGCATGCGGCGCCCCGAAAACCAAACTTGGCACGTTCACCCATCCAATACAGCGCTTCGTGGCCCCATAGGGGGCTCAACCGAAGGTCCCAGTGCCACCGTCCGCATGCGTCCCGAAAAACCAGGAAGGCCTTCCAAGGGCAAAAATGACACATTCCCAATTGACATGCGTATAGTTCCTGGAGAACTGCTTGTCAATCCAACCAGCGGCCGCGACGGCCCCAGAGACTCCCCAAATGAGCCCCAGACGGCCCAAGAGACCTCCAAGAGGGCCCCCAGACGGCCTGAAGAGAGCTTCGAACAGCACAAAAGAACTCTAACACGGCCCAAGAGAGTACCCAGGAACCCCGAGGGGGCCACAGGAGGATCCCTACATGGTCGGAGAGGGCCCCAGACCGGGCTGAGGTCCCCATGACGGGCGAAGAGGGACCCGCCACGGCCGAACTGGGCTCCCAGCGGGCCCCAAAAAGGCGAACCAGGACTCCCCGAGCATCCTCCACTTCCTTCCCCCCTCCAACGTGTGGCGGTGGTGGAAGACGGGCCCGTCCTGAGCGCCCGAGTCCGACCGAGCAGCCCTCCGGCCCGGGCGGCGCAGAGGGGCCCTCGGGCCCGGGCGTGTCGCGCCCGCCGCTCCCGGCCCTGCGCGGGCCGCCTCCCGGCCCCCGGGGGCTGGCGGCTGGCAGCAGAGAGGCTCCGCGTGAGGCGAGGCGCCATCTTCGGGTTTGGGGGCTCGATGAGGGGGCCACATGCGAACCCTGCCCCTGCCCCCCAAGAAGTGAGAAGCCCACTCTCCCCCTCAGAAACATCCTGGGGGGTGGGGGTAGGGTTCGCGTGTGGCCCCCTGCTCGAGGTTCGGGGCTCCGTCAGGAGCTTGCAGGACTCGGCAGAGCCAGGGTCGCCGCATGCCCCGGCCAGTCGAGCCCACCCCCCCTTCCCCACGATCCTCACGGTCATCCCCGGTCAGGACAGTTTTTGGTCAGCGATGGGGATCGGCGGCCGGCCGAATTTCAGTATCGCCGTGGGCTGTATGCCTCGTAGAGCGAGTAGTCTTCTTATCATGGGTATCATCATCAGCAGCACCAGCACCAGCACCAGCATCAGCATCATCATCATCATCATCATCAGCAGCAGCAGCATCATCATCATCAACATCATCAGCATCAACATCAGCATCAGCATCAGCACCATCATTAGCGTCACCATCACCATCATCATCATCATCATCACCATCACCATCATCATCATCATCATCATCATCATCATCATCATCATCATCATCATCATGATCATGATCACCATCGTCGTAGCATGTCTCAGGATTCCCACTCCTCCCTCCTCTCCACGGAGACCCCAGGAGCGAGCAGGGCGTCGCTATACCATCATACCTCTTCGGAATCCTGCTCCTTCCACCCCATCCAGGGAGGCCCTGCCTGAGCGAGCACGTTGTCGCAACACCATCGTATTTTTTAGGATTCCTGCTCCTTCCCTCCAAGGAGGCCCCGCCTGAGCGAGCAGGGTGCCGCTATACCATCATATTTCTTCGGATGCTTGCTCCGCCCAACCCCTCCAGGGAGGCCCCGCCTGAGCGAGCACGCTATCGCTACAGCATAGTATTTCTCATGATTCCGACTCCTCCCACCCCTCCACGGAGGCCTCGCAAGAGCGAGCACGGTACCATTATACCATGAGGCATCCCGTGCCTCCGCACATTATTCGGTTCGATTCGTTCCTCCTCCTCGTTCCTCCTCGTTATAACATGAGACATTCGGTTCGTTCCCCCTCTTGCTCCTCCTCATTTATGTTGCGACCTGCCTTTTTCCTGTCATAACCCCGAATTTGATTTTCCCCGCCCTGTGATTCTCGTGGGCATAGGGTCAGAGATCCTGGCCTGGAGGATCGCAGCGGGTGCTGAGAGAATGGGTACGAAGGTTAACGGCAAATCCTGTCCATTCTGGACAGGACTCGTTGTCGGTATCGCCACGGACGGTGCCATTTTGAGACCGTAGGCCGCTTGCCAAACAGCGGCCGTTGTCGATGTTGGACGACACTGCTGGTGGGCATCGCACCCGTCTTTCCCGTGCCCGTGTTGTGCGTCCAAGTCTCGGGGGTGGAGGTCTCGAACACATTGCGATTTTGGGGGGAGAGAGAGAGAGAGAGAGAGAGAGAGAGAGAGAGAGAGAGAGATTGAAGGCCAATGAAAGAATTGTCTGAGACATGCGGGGCCTTCACCTCCAAGCCCCAGGAACGCCGCCGCAGTTTCGGGCGCCGCCCCCCTCACCTTCGCAAAGGGCATGCACCCAGCCATCTCGTAGCGATTTGTCGCGTTAGGAGGAGGCGAATGAGGAGGAGGAGGAGGAGGAGGAGGAGGAGGAGGATACTGGCGTCTTCGCGCAGCGCAGACGACTGGCACGGGGCGGCTCCCTTGAGGAGGTCATGTTGGCGCCATGTTCTCTTAGCACGAGGGTTCCAGTACAGGTAATTCCTCCAGATCTTACCACCGACTGCTACAAGTGGAAACCAAGCCGCTAACAGGAAAGCTCGAGGATGGGCCATTTTGGATGGCGTACTGGGTCACCCTTGCAGCGTTCTGGTGGTTCACGTACTTCTTCGGCTTCATCCTGAACCTTGTCCCCATGATGTTGTGCCGACGGATGCAACCAAACCTCACGTCCTCCTCAGCCTCTTTATTTAATTTGCATGGTCCAGCATTGATGAGGAGGGGAGGCGGGGAAGGGGCCGGGAGGGAGGAGGGAAAGGATAGAACGTAGGGAGGAAGGACAGAGAGAGAGAGAGAGAGAGAGATGGGGAGGGGGGAGGAGAGTTGAGGGGAGTGAAAGGAAGGGGGGAAATCTGAGGTGGGGGAGGAAGGAGGAAGATGAAGGAGAGGGAGAGGAAGACGAACAGGAGGTGGGACGGACTGGAGTGTGCCTGTTGCGTTGTTGCGCTTGTGTGTGTGTATGTGGTGTTGGTGCTGGTGTGGCGTCACTCGGGGGCGCAGCTTTGCTGCCCCTGTCGCCCGTCGCGCACCTCGCCCAGGTACCTGAAGTGCGGGGCCCTGGTCTACCTCTATTGCCCCTTCACGCGTGGGGTCGACAAGGTTCCAGTCGCTCTTGCATGTGCTCTGTGGAGGAGGAGGAGGAGGAGGAGGAGGCCGCTGGAGAGAGCACCGTGCGCCGTCCACCACAGCATCCCTGGGATACGGTGTGCTCCGTTCCGTCGTCCTATCGTGAGCACAGGGGGCGGAGATATCGGGACTGACTGTGCCATGCCTGCTTGTACGGAGTCGTAAGGGGTAACCTCCACGAGGTTGTCGACGCGGTCTTCAAGCCCTACGTTTTCCCACAGGTCTTTGGTGTGCCCTATGTGAAGAAGGCGACGGCGCAGGAGTCCAACGGCGCCCCCACGAACAGCGAGGCTCCATGACAGGAAGTAGCGGGGGAGCTTTGTACCATTTCATAGCTTCGCTCATTCCGCCAGCCCGCACAGTGCCATCGTTTCCGCGTGCCCGTCTGGTCGTAGCGATTGGGGTTGTGTTCGTCTGCTCGTGGCCAAGTGGAGATGCCTGGCAGGCACTCGATGTCCGGACACTTCTGCGACTAACCTGGGTCGTGGACCAGATGCCTCTTTGGGAGGAGTCCCAGTGTCTCGTCAGGAGCCTCCTGAGGGCTTTGGGGCGGCAGTTGGCCAGACGCATCTTTCGCAACAGTCTTGGGGACTCTTCGGATGCCTCGCCTGGGCTTGAGCCTGTTTTTTTTTTTTTTTTTTAGTCTGGGCGATAACGCTCGTGATCGCCCCCGCCCCTCCCCCCCCCGATCACGTCGCGCTGTTTTCCCCACATGTCTCAAGGAATCTTCACGGGTTTCCAGAGAATTTCAATGGTTTCCCAGGAATTCATCGTCGTCGCTGTCGTCCGCGACCGGGAGGTGGAGGAGGAGGTCGGAGGAGGAGGTCGGAGGAGGAGGAGGAGGAGGAGGAGGAAACCAGATGGTTTCGAGGGCCCGTTCGAAGGATTTGTTTAGGGGATGTCTCGCGCGAAACGCAGATTCTTAGCGAAACAGGAAAAAAAGTGTTTCCAATCATTCCGCTTCCTGGGCCATCTTGGAGGTCTTCAGAATTCGCTTCCAAAATATGACTTAAACGACGTTCTGGCGCATCCCATTTGTTCGAGGATCTCTTAGGCGAAACGCTCATTTTGGGAGGTCTGCGAAGTAGATCAACGATTTCAACATCCCCATTTCCCGAGGATGTCTCAGGCGAGACGCCCACTGTTAGCAACATACGTCTTAAGATACGACCCCCAACTTCACGATTCGACGAGGAAGTCTGAGGCGAAGCGCTAGTTTTTGTTTCAAAACTTTCCTGACATGAACGGGAAGCGCATGAAAGGGACGAATTGCGCCAGAACTTGCAGCATCATCGCGATCACATGTGATTCAGGCGAGCTCTCCGAACGCTCACAAGGGATACGTATGAACACGCGGCCCCCGAACGTTTACAAGCATATTCCTGAGTATCCTCCCCACTCCTCCGCATGAGGAGGACGACGGCGAAGACGACGACCGGGGAAGAAGGGAGAGGAGGAGGAGGAGGAGGAAGAGGAGGAGGAGGAGGAGGAGGAGGAGGAGGAAAAGGAGGAGGAGGAGGAGGAAAAGGAGGAGGAGGAGGAGGAGGAGGAGGGGAGGGGGAGGAGGAGGAGGAGGAACAGGAGCAGCAGGAGCAGCAGCAGCAGCAGCAGCAGAATCTCAAGGGGAGTTTCAGTAGACTTGGGGCGTGTCAGAGGACATGTAAGGGGCGCGTGCCAGGGGACGTGTCACGGCACGTGCTTGAGGACGTTTCGAGAAGGCGTGGCAGAGGGCATGATTGGAGACGTGTCCGTGGAAGTGCTTCGGGATGTATGTCACTAGGAAGTGTCTATGGATGGATTACCTGTCAATGCCATGTCCACTGTTAGGGTGTTTTGCCAGGTTGCGATTGCACGATCTCAGGCTGGAGAGCGTCTCCCTTCGCGAGTCTCTCCGAAGAGACCTAGGGGCCGGACCTGGATGGCGATCGCAGGAGGGACGGAAAGAGGGTGGCGGGGGTGAAAGATCGAGGACAGGAAGCGCCAGGAGGAAGAGCAGTAGCGGAAAATTATGGCAAGAAAGGTCGGCGTGGGCTCGAGACAGCCAGCGCAGGCACAATGAAAAGGTTGGAAATCCCCCCCCCCGCACGGTGCTTGGCACAACCTCTCGCAGCCACACGCTTGGGGGGGCATGAGGAGGAGGAGGAGGAGGAGGAGGAGGAGGAGGAGGAGGAGGAGGAGGAGGAGGAGGAGGGAGGAGGAGGAGAGGTGGTGGGAGGAGGAGGAGGAGGAGGAGGAAGAGATGGAGGAGGAGGAGGAGAGAAGAGGGAGGGGGAGGTGGAGGAGGAGTTGGAGGGGGAGGAGGAGGAAGAGGAGGAATCGGAGGAGGAGGGAGGAGGAGGAGGAAGGTGGGTGATGTGGAGGAGGGAGTTGGAGATGGAGGAGGAGAAGGAGGAAGAGGAGGAGGAATTGGAGGAGGAGGAAGAATGACGAGGACGAGGACGAGGCGTTGGAGGAGGAGGAGGAGGAGGAGGAGGAGGAGGAGGAGAAGGAGGAGGAGGAACGACGAGGAGGAGGAGGAGGAGGAGGAGGAGGAGGAGGAGGAGGAGGAGGAGAGACTCCCCCCCCCTCAGCCACGCGCAGATGGGGCAGGGGGAGGGGGGAAGGCTTCTTAGAAGCGCGCCTGCTTCTTAGCAGGCGGAGGTCTTGTATAGAAATGTTGGGCCGCCGCCTTCTAAGAAGCAGCCTCTGTCTAAGAAGCCTTCTCCCATCCTCCTACCCCCCTGTGCGCCGCCAACTTGTTTCGACAGCATCAAGACATGCTTGTACTATGTGTGCGCCGGCTCCCGCAATGTCGACGCGCACGCTCGGACATACTGTATAGTGGAAGCTCCGTGGCGAGCACATTCTGGCCATACCGTTCGGTCAACGGTGTACTATGATACCTACGTAGTATGTCTTCGTGTCGGACATGCACCTCCAAAATCAGCACACTGTACTCGTATCCCTTCTGCGTCCCGTAGTTACTTCATAGCCTCCCCATCGGGAGGATTGAATATTCCCCTGTGCGGCGATTTGGTATTATTCTCCCCCCTTGGGGCTGGTGTCCCCCCTTCCCTGTGCGAGGTGGCTTGAAGGATGTACAGCACATTGGCTTCTTTTCAAGCGACGAGTACAGCCAGCCATAAGCTCTATATGTCCTTCTCCTCCTCGTCCTTCTCTTCTTCCTTGCGCGCGTGGCGCACTCGGCGCTCCTGGAGCACATGGCGCTTCTGGAGCGCGTGCCTGTGCACGGCGCTTTTGGAGCTCGCGCCTGTGCACAGCGCACGCGCAGGGTCGGCATCGATGCCCCAAGGCACTGGAGCCAGTGGACCGTGCCAAGGCCTGCCCTTGCATCTTTCCAGATATCCCTACGTCTCTCGTGACGTAGAAGCAAATCGTGGCGGAATAGCTGGTGTTTGACGCGGCCTGCGGGGGCCCCTCACCGGACTCCTGGGACAGTGAGAGCACAATTCGGGATGAGAATGTTCGGGGGTAGACAGAAACCCCGCCCTGACACGTCGATTAGTGAATTGTCCGTTTTCGGTTCTCGAGAGGGCGCCGCGACCGTCATTTTCCAGGCTTGCGCCCGCCAGGTTTGGGCCCGAGGTCGTTTTCACTAAACCACGTTTTGCTAAAGGGGGCTCTGTAGATCCCCGAAATATCGTCCCCAGAAAAGGGTTCAGACCTCGGAAGAGCCGCGTTTGTTGACAGGATCACGACGTCGGATTTCTCTGAGAGGCCCAGTTTCCGTTTTCGTCTGTCTGATTAAGTTCGTGCCAGAAAGATGCAATGCTGTGTTCGCGTCGGCCGCAGTACTTCATAGCCTCTCGATGTGTGTGTATGTGTGTTGCTTCGATGTAGTTTTACGTGGTCTTGGCAAATCCGCGGTTCCCACCAGAACCGAAAGAGCACAGCCTGTCCCGTGCACAAACCAGTGTTCCGTGATGTCTTGGTCTTTGTTGATAGTTTCGTTAGCGACGCTGTCGGCAAGTGCGTTGAACTCCCTGTAGATGTGGCAAGTTCTGCTATCGCGGCGCCTGCGTAACAGTTCTGCAGCCTGCTTCAATAACAAGTATGAGGGATGGTGGCGGGCAACGCTGCTCTATGTTGCATTGATACGCCAACAGCAGGGAGTCTACCTGGAATGTGACCGCGATGTCAGGCCAGCGCAGGGCGTCCTGGAAGTAGTTGATCATGGCTTCGTATTCTGCCACGTTGTTCTGGCACGCGGGCAAGAATCTGGGTGTAAGACTAAGTTCTAGGAAGAGTCCATCGATTATGCCGTGTTGGAAATAGCCGCGTGTTGCGTAGCGTCGCGCGAGTGTTCCCCATGCTTGTCGGAAGCATCGGGAGTCTCGTGCCCGTACGAAAACTCGCAATCTAATTTTTGTCATTGTCGCACCGTGTTGTAGATCGGGCAGTATTTGCTATACTTTCCGATTTGAAAGGGACCTCCCTCCATCTGGGCTTGGAAGTTTGGAACACCACTGCGCGTGGTTCTGAGGCGTGGACAACATTGTAACTTGTAGGTGCTGGGCACTTGTAATGTGAGTTTGCGCAGCGCGAAGGCAACTACCACATTTCGGGCACCACCCGAGTTCCAAGCTTGTAGGTATTGGCGACAGTTGACGCTATGTGCGCGGCGCTATGCCTAGAGCCGCGCTTTAAACACGGTTCGCCCACCATCCGGTAATTGTTAGAAGTTTCAAGGCAAATTTAAGCGGCAGTATGGCGATAACAAAAGGCATTGGGTACGATTTGTTTACCAGCATTCTCAGTTTTAGAAGTCTGACCAGGAGGTCAGAAGTGGCGAGGAGGCGAGACGCCCAGCAAGCCGTACCGATACGTGTGGTTTTGCGACAAGGGAGATGTCATCACAGGGAGACGAAAAGGGTGAGGCAATTGGGGAATCGTTTGTGGTGATAGTGGGGTGCGAGGAAGAGGATGAGTATGATGACAATGATGAAGCGTGTCGGCTGGATGCTGCGGAGGTGGAGGTGGTAGTATTGGTGGTGGCTGGCAGACACCATAGCGAAAAACGAGGCGCAGGATGAAGGCGATGATGATGAGGAGGAGAAGCAGGAACAGCGGGGAAGAAGAACGGGGGAATTCGGAGGACGATGAGAATAATGGCTTGGAGTCTGTAGCAGGAGAGGCCACGGACACAAGGTGGTGGAGGACGGGGAGTTGGAGAAGGAGGATCAGGAACGTGAGAAGAAATAGGACGAGGAGGAGGAGATGGAGGAGGAGGAGGAGGAGGAGGAGGAGGAGGAGAGTGACGAATGGGAGCAGCACCGCGTGCTTGCTGGCA